AATAATATTACCCTACAGGCATAATTTAATTCGCGAGTGTTTAAAATTGTATTAACGAAATGACTACCGAAACATTTACACGATATTATTCCGACATTCCGTTGTTTTATGATGATTTACTCCACGCGTTTATTCGTTCTAAACATAACCCATTTTATTATCAAACACTAAATTCATACAGTACTTACCTACGTTCAAATGCACGAGAAACGTTTAAAAAACAAAATACCTATACACAAAAACGTGTTTCGCGCAATATCTTTTATGCGTTCCGCGTTGTATATATTATAATAGTAATAGTAGCATTTGAGTTTAACAATCTACTGCAAGTGTGAAAGTGTAGGTATTTCATTTTATATTTTGTGTATCACGTTCGCCATTTTTATTGTTCAGACGATTCAATTTTTAAATTAACAATTTAATCGAAAATGTAAAACAAAAACGTTTTGCGTGACTTTAATTTGAATGCGTGTTATTAATGTAGATACGTTTACATTTTCCATATAAGTGCCGCAGCGCAACATACTGATACAAAAAACAACCAATTTTATGTAAATACCTACCTATAACAGAATCTCGTATTACTGAACCGTTTACCCACCTATTCAAGGAGGTATTTATGTGAGGCGCCACATTTCAAAGTAGTATCATAAGTCTTATAAGACAATATGGTAAAATAATAGTTTTTTTTTTTTTTTTTTATTATTTACATCAATTCTATCCTATCAATTCTACAGTTCACACTCGTTCAGTAGCATCTAAAATTGTTACTAAACATCTCGTACAGAGTTTACTACCACTGACAACAGTGATCTCTCCAGTAGAAAATTGAGAATATAAGAATTATACGATTTATAATTATGGGGTAATGTATAACTTGCATCAGTACTAATTTGTAATCAGTATCTGTAATCGATGCTAATGAAAATCAACTGTGAGAGAATTTCGGTTATCGTGTTTTAATACAATTTTAAAAAAAATACATAACATCCGATTCTTTCAAAGTTCTCTGCCAAAACACCCAAAATCATAATTAATCTGCTTTACCAATGTTCATCATAAACATATATGTATTTATCAATTTAAACGCCAAAACAAGCACTTTTGTGGGAGGTGATCTTAAAATTAACTAAGACTAGATGGGTGGAGTGACAACAAAAGGGGAACTTATATCTAAAGCAAATGTTAGAAAAGGCCGTAACAAAGCAGCGTTGATTAAACGAAAAACACGGTGGAGGGGATTATCAAACCCATAAGAGATACATATTATTCACGTCATATGATAACTATAACTCTGAATTTACAGTGAATTTCTACATTTTTCTCTATAACACAATCTAATGTTTTGGCCTTTTATCTCTGGTTTTGTCAACTTTTTTTTATTAGTTGAATTAATTTGTATGTATTATCTTTTGCAATCCTTTATGCAATTTTCAAAAAATATAAAAACGCGGATGTAATTAGTCTTGTAATTATTGTACACTTCTATAATATTATAATATAGGTTTATACCCTGTACTAATCGTATTGTAAATGCCCATGGGTGTACATTTTTTAAATATATACATTAAGATTAAAAATTATTGTTCAAACTGTTTGTACAATTTGCGCGCTAAATAATATAATTTTTAATATAAAATAGGTTTCAAGACGTATTTAAAGAAATACCTATATGTTATGTTTAGTCTGAACAATAAAATCGAGTTAAAAGTTATTAGCTGACAACAAGAATTAATATAAGTTATAATAATAAGTAATTTATTAGAAGTTTTAATACAATTATTATTATTAAAATATAATACCATTAATAAAAAAAAAAAAAATTAAAAACTACGATGTTTGAAAAAGTTTTGATTGCCTACAGATTTTTTCTCACTTCTTTATCATTATTACTGCAGAATCCTTTGTTTGCGATGATAATATTGTTGTTTGTTCAACAGCGTAAAAAAAAAAAATAATAATAATAATAATAATAATATAAAATGTACGTACCTATATATTCTTTATTGGTTTTTGTTAGGAAACACCGTCGGTGATGATTAAAAAAAAAAACGAACGAAAATAAATAAATAATTCTGGGCTAAGTATCGTGCAATAATAATAATATTTTCATTATGATAATATGATTTTCTTATAAATTTAATAGAACTCTGGAAAATGTTCACAACAATATGTGGCGCAGAGTATTTCCAGTGTCTCGTAGCCAAAGATATTGCGGGCACGAGGGGCCGAGGGTGCGTATGAGGTAGAAAATCGCCGTTAGTCAATACTTATATAAGTAACTTTATAATCGTACATCGGATTTTCGAATTCTCAATTATTTCACCGAAGAAATATTACGGATAAGAATTCGTACGGGTTCGGTCCCGAGGGGTATTCGCACCTTTTGCGCGGTGTATATACACGACTATCGTCTTACCCCGCGGCCTTACCCCGGCCAGTAATCTCGGGCCTCTGTATACATTCTAAAACTTCTATCTTAAAGGAAATCCCATTAACTTTCTAGGATTTTCATCGTATCACAGCCACAAGAATGTACGCAATGTAAACTCTGTAGCAGGCCACTTGTTTAACGACCACTTTTCAACCCTCCCCCCTCTCTTACTCAGACACTAGCGTTCTTTTATTTATTATTATTCAACGAGAAACGGTTAGGTTTCCTACACAAATTCGATGTATATATGTGTCCTGTATATCCACGGGATAAGCCAATTCGATTAAAGTACTTATTTATGCCTTTGTAGTTTACGTTTTATCCGAGAATTGATAGAAACGAAAATCCGACATACTTAGCACCATAGGTGTGCCACTGTTGTAGACGGGAATTCGGGATGGTTTCAGGATAAATAGGGCGATTAATTATTTGTAACTGTACGTTACGAGTCGTCATAGCAAACGAAAAACGAATCTGAAAGTTCGGTGACACGTCATGTTTTAACAAAATTTATTATTACTAAACTGGACATTGAATTGATTTTAAACTAAAAAATAAATTACAATTTTTCGTGGAATTTCGTCTTAAGTTTATGATCATTTTTACTGGGCCAAGAAAAGATATAAAAAGCCACATAAACAGGAGCGTAGTACTCGAAATGCCGTAATTTGTATGATTTACATCAAAATTTGAACTTTAAACGCTTATATTGAAAAAAAAAAAAACTTAAATTTCCATTTATATATATATATATATGCAAAGTAGATATTATATTGAATAATATGGTGTTCAAGGTAAATGTGGTTGGTATTTAAAACATAAAAAATGTATTTTAATTTAATTTTTTTTTTATCTAACTCTATTTACACATCCCTAGATGATACAAGTGAATAGAATTTTACTTATTGAGATTATTTATATCTATTTCATATTATAAACACTAAAAATAATTGTGTTTGTTTTCTTTTTGTTCCAGGTAAGCAAGCATAGTTTTATATTTACGCAAAGTCAGAAATTACAAAAATATTCTATTGGGTTTTGCCAAATTTTACGTATTTAAAAAATGTTTGTAATCGTGAATAAACCTTTATAGTAAGTACAATACATACGAGTTTATATTTAAATAAATTAAGTAAGTTAATTTAAAGTAAATATCCAAATAATTTGTATTCTATTAAATTCTGAAAATAGTGAAGTATCTATTAGTATCATTGTATTTTCCCAACATTTTTCTAAACAATTTAAAAAACACTGACAACTAATCGTTATTATACATTGGTTTTATTTTATTGATTTCTGGATTTTTTTAGTTCTTAAGTTTCTGTTCGGAATTGTTCTGTTGATTTAAATAATTTTTCGCTTCTTTCAGCGTAAAAAATAAAATTCTCCATAATATATTTCACTTTTCCAACTTCCCGGGTATACAGCAGTATAGCCTACACACGGTGAGAAGAATTTCCGGCTTTCTATAATTGACATATATTTATTTGTCACTGGCTGCGTCGTGATAAACGGCCAGTCTTGTAATACCTATATGTGGAACTTAAGCGAGTAAAAAAAATATATATGTAATTTGTTCGTTTGGAATCCTTTATGATAAATGATAATAATATATGTCCTGTTTAGTGTAATTATCGTCCGAATTATTGAAAAATGTTAAATAATAATACATATTATGTGGACACAGAAAACCGAACAGTATACAGTCAATGATTAAATCACTAAAAATCGACGGCATAGCAGTAAAAAAAAAAAAAAAAAAAAAAAAAAAAAAAAAAAAAATGAAAAATTTAATAAAATATTAATGTCCGTTCAAATCGAAGCGGTTGTGTTGGTGGTGGCGGTAGTCGCAACGAAAACTCGTTTCCGTACGTTTAAATAAGATCCCTTGTACCGAAGCGAAATTTTTCGCAGTGATCAATTTTTATCACAATACCTGCACCGAAATTGTTTTTGTTCGCTGCATGCACTATAATTTCGGCAAACGCATATACAAGCTGGAAATTGTAGTCAATCAACAATTATTGTGTAAACGACAGAATATTGTGGAGTACACCTTTGTTAATGTCAGTAAATTAATTTTTATCTGTATTTATGCCGCATACCTAATACACGCATAGCCCGATGCATAACTCGACGATAAACGATAAGTTATTATGGGCGCGTAGGTGCTCGGCGTATTACCAATATCCGTTTGGTTTGTTCATTATTTTACGTTATTGTACTACAGTATTAAAGTGTTATCATCATCATCATCATCATCGTCATCAATGACTGTCCACGATGTCACAAACCTGAAATGAATTTAAAAAATAAGCAATTTGCTGTCCGTGTACTCTAAAACGTTAATATTGATAATGGCCAACGTACATGTCGCGATGTCGACTAGGCTTGGCGAAATATTTCGCTTTGGTTAGATAAATCAAGCGGTATTTAATAGCGATACAGTACCGCCGAATTTACCGTTACCGCTTCGGTTTGAACGGATCTTCATGCAACTAAGTACTTTCTCGTTATTATTTGTTTTCCCGGTTATATTTATTTTGTTATTTTTTTTTTTTTTTCAAATACAACATTCAAAAAAAACGCGTTTAAACGTGAATTCTACGACATATCGCTACCCGAGTTTTAATTGCATATTTATCTGTAGTGGTATTTGAAACTCGGTATTTCCTGTTGATACGTGCAATTTGAACAATTCTATTGAAAGGATTGAATGTTGAAAACTCCAAAACGGCATAACCTCGATACTTAGATCATGCGTATGGAAAATTCGACCGACTTGATTATTTGGGAGGGGGAGGATCTGTAAGGTAAGCAAATTAAAAAAAAATATATATACCCTTTCTCCCTCAATATTCATATTTAAATTTAACCGAAATTGTATCATTGCAGTTCACGTATAAAAGAACTATAATTCTCGAGTTTGACCTCATTTGGTCCAGAGGGAGTAGCCCAAAAGCAGCGAAAAAAAATATATGTCTATTATATATATATATATATACCGTATATCACAGATGCAATACAGCTCAATAGTCTCTATTTCCGAGGTAAATTCGACAAAAAAGAAACGTGAATCGGACAAAAAAAAAAAAAAATTCGAGGCAAAGCCTGCCAAACATCACGTGGGCGTATACCTATATAGTATATTTGGGTTTCAAAAACATTGCAAATGCACTATAATGAAACACGATATAATAATATATTGGCTTCGATTACCGAACTGTCGCGCTGCAGTTATCGCGCACGTATCGCACGATAATACTATCCGAGCCAAAGAGTAATCGGATTCGTGATTTCGGTACTTCAAAGACTGCCCGATAAGATGGAAAATAAATGCCCGTCAAAAATAAATCTGGCCGCCAGCGGTGGAAAATAGAGCGCCGAGGAGAACTTATGGCACGAAAACTCCTTAGCGTTTATTGCTTTAGAGCCGTCGCGTCGCCGAGAAAGCACGAATAACGCCGAGAATGGCAATAATATTATACAAATAGTATTTTTTTTATTTTTTTTTACCGCTTATATTATGATATTATGTATCGTCATACGTTTCGAGTCTGCGGGCGCGAAATGATAATTTATGGAGTGGGGTTGGGGAAAAACTGGATATTCGACGAGCAGCAGACTACTCGTTTTTCATCTCCGGGAGCGCAACGGCTGAATTTATTACGATTATGATAATAAATTATAGTACTCTTTTAGCGTCACTAAATGATACGACGTATAATGTCTTCTGTACGGCGAGAAACAAAAGTAAAAAACAAAAGAATGTGAACAATTTAATGAAGAATTTATCATATTTTATATTTTGACGTAAACTAATAAAAAGCTGTTAGTGCTGATAGGTAGGCTACTATTGTGTGTAGGAAGTCGGAAAGACAGTTAGAATAAGTAAAAAGTGTTATGTATATATTAAATACCTGCAGTAGCTAACGATAAATAAATACATTAACGAAATACAATTCTAATCGAAGTTCAGTTAAATATATTTTTAAAATGTCGCACGCTCCTAAATAGCTCAAAATTTACTAATTCAACATAATTTTACCGCGTCCATAAAAGGTTAGTAAAAGTTGTTTTGTGAAAATTTCAAGTTTCTACGATTATTCTTAACCGAATTAATGGCAACAAAAAAAAAAAAAAACCATAATTGAAAAACGAATAAAGTCGTTGTTGCAGTTAACGTGTCCTTTCGATCGATGTTTTTCCCGATTATTAAGAAAATTGCAATAAAAATAAATTACCTCATAAACGAACCAAAAAGATAACATTTTCGTTCAGAAATGATAGTGAACTTTAAAATCGGAGAAATGTATCCGGTCGAAAGGTTTGAGTGCTCGGTGGCCTCGGCAAAAACATAGGAAACCCCAATAGAAATAGACAGACACGCGGCATGAAGGCCGAGCGAGAAACGTCGCGAAAATAGAGAGTGAGCGATAGAGAGAGAGAGAGAGAGAGAGAGAGAGAGAGAGAGAGCGAGAGAGTGAGCGAGAGAGTGACGACGGCGCGGACGGCGGAAGTGGGAGATCGAAACGAAGGAAACTTCGTCGGTCTTGCGACTGAAGACAGTATAATAATATCACAACAGCGGCGGGTCTCGATTGGCCCGCGTGACGACGCGGGTTTGACGGCGGGCGTATGCCTGTAATGTACATGCCGGAACGGAGATAATAATATATAGGGTATATAGGTGTCCGTGTGCGCGATCGGTACAATAAGATGTACGCGCCGCCGAACTCGCGCGAAAGTCCGAGTTCTGTCATTTCGAATTATCGTTATTATTATTATTATTATTATTATTATTGTGCGTCCCAGAGGTCGAAACCGGTGAATATATTACCGCAATAAGGTACACCGATACATGCGTCCGGGACACGGTTTCTCCGATAGACGCGGCGTACCGGAACAAGACCGTGCGTAGTTGGGACGAAACCTCCGTGATAAAACGCGGGAAGAAGACCGCCGTCGGAACTCGCTCGGTCTTGTTATTTCCAAAGGCGTGTGCATCGCGAAGGCTTTGACTCGGACGGCTGACCGGACGCGTACAGATAGCATATACGACATATAAAAAAACCACCTGAATTGCTCACACTCTAACGATAATTGAAGGGCTTAGTGCCGCACAAAGACGAGTTCGCTTTTCAAAATCGACCGGAAACAAGACATCAGTTAACATCATGTCGTTTTACCGGTAACTATGCGTTACACGTAATTGCATCGTTGCCGCACTAAATTATAGAACAATTATTGTTTCGCACGATTAACTGTTAAAAAGTAGAAAAAAAAGTGTACTCGATTCCTCGTTTTCGCACCGATCCCTTACGAGTTTACGTTCGTTTTCGTACGGTTAGCTCGCGATAATTTGTCCGTATTGTTCCGTGCGTAAGCCGCGTCACTTACGACTGTTTGACGGACGAATCGTTAACGATTCAAAATCTCGATGTGTTTAACCGACGCAAAACTAGTGGCGGTAGTCGCGTTGACCTATGCACGGCCGGTTCTGTAGTCGGTGATTTTACGGTACGGAATCTTTTCCCGTCGCCAATACCGCGGTGTTATTACGCCTTTTCCTCACCCCTTAGCTCACCCTCGTCCGCGAGCGCAATCTGAGTGTGTGTGTGTGTGTGTGTGTGTGCGTGCGTCCATTCTCGCGCTCCCCGTGAGAACGACAATCGAATGTTTTCGCTCCGAAACCCAATATCGGGCGCGTATGCTCGAACGACGACGTTTCTCGGTTAACCTTTTTTTCCCGGCCAAGTATTACGGCGGCGTATAATATAACCGGGCGCGTACGCACCCTCACCGTCCTCCGCACGGTTCGCACACTCGGCGTCCGCCTCTCGCCACAACTCCGCCGCCGCCGCCGCCGCCGCCACCGCCACACGACCGACAACAATATCGCCGCCGCGTAGTCCTCTCCGGCCGACATCCGAAAAGACAACGGCGATTCCACGCAGCGCGGTGTGTTGTGTGCTGCGTAAGTGCCGTGTACTCGCACGCAAACGCGGAATCGATACGGCACACGTGTTTCGCTTTTCTTACGACGACACGGCTTTGTACCCGCGAAAACGTTACACGCCGGGGGGGAACAGAACGGGAATGACGAGGGAAAAACCGACAGTTATTAAAACTCGCGATATTATTAACGAACCGTACGGTCGTGTGCGCGCGCGAATAATTTAACAATTTAAGATATCGATTTTGGTTTTGAAAATTTTAACAACCACGGGCATTCGTCCCTGCTTAAAGATCCGTTCCGAAAAATCGATTAATTTTCAACGCGTTTTATTTTGAATATTCCAATGTTATTTATTACGCAGGAAATGTTGTCTATCAACTTTTAATTTTTATTAAACTCGCGATTTTTGATCATTTTTTTAAAACTCGGAGAAAAAGTGTACACGTCAAAATAGTCAGAAAAATAATATCTATAAAACGTCTGTTTTAAAACGTTTCGAAAATAATAAAATAAAAAGTTATTTCAGACTTCGAGCGTAGCGAGGGAGCTTATTATTTTACTAAGATGTTCATTTTTTTTCCTAGTCCACGGACACGTTTTTCCTTCTAAACTTGTTTCGATTTTTACGTGTACAGGTCACATTTTGATATTCAACGCCATGTTTTAAATAAAACAACTTAAATGGGAAAAACGTAGGAACGTGTACAACGTACGGATGACGTTTTCTGCCAGGAAAAATGATTTAATCGAAAAATCACAACCTTTTTTATTGTCTTTTTGATTTACTTTATTGCGGTATCATCGCCAAAACTTTTGAGCCACTTTTGAGCTAATAGGGAATTGAAATTTTTGGGCGTTTTCTTGCTGTAACTCGGTTATAAATATACGAAAAGACTCGAGACTTGGTAATAATACTTATGTTGGACTTACCTATATGTGGAAAAATTTCCAACATCAAGTGACCACTTTTTTTTTTCTCAATAAGCGTTTTGAAATCAAATTTAAACGGAAATCGCCAAAAAAAAATTACGGCAATTCAAATTATGTATTACCGAACTACGCTCTGAATCGTCTTTTTTCAAACAACGGTTTATCGTTGCTTACAGATGTAAATGAAATTACCTTATCTATCCTAACTTCCCAACTTCTCACCCACAACAGTGGTCGCTCCCATCCCCGGTATCAACTCTTTTTTTTTTTTTGATTTTTTCTTTACCGAAAACATACAAATTCAATTCAAATATAAATATCCGTGTGGACACGCTGTATGCGTATTGGCCGGATTCTCAGATTATGAGAGTGTATTAAACGTCGGAATATCTGATTCGGAACTAATCGCGACTATAGATTTTGTAAACGAAAATCGGAATCATCGTATTCTAAAACCGGAAACCCTTATTTCGGATTTTGGAAACCGGAATCCGGATTGTCCGGGCTTAAGTCACATCTCTTACACCTAAATCTATACGCAGTGCTCCCGTTATGTTATTTTGCATGCGGACACTCGGACCCGTCGGAAACACCGCATGATACGGCGGACAACGTCTGTGTCGCGTACGTTTCGCGAGCACGTCTTCGTCGTCACGCCGACCCTGACCGCGGCGGCTATAATAATTTATTAGATTCTCGTTCCGTTTCGCCGGTCTCCGGACCGCACGGATCGCGATTCCCGCACGAAAAGACGACGTTTTCTCCGGAACAAACAAAACGTTTCTCCGCGACTACGCGATTACGAACAACTTTCGGCGCGGTTACCGCGTCCTTTTTTAATCCCCCAAGCGCGCGTATAATACCCGCGGCCGTCCTCCCGAAAAGTTTCGCCGACCGAGAAATTAGGGATTTAGAATAATACTGCGCCGTACCGTATGTCTGTACAGTCGACGTTATACTTGCAGTGTTCTGTCGTTTTCCCCCTCCCCCCCCGTATTTGTTCTAGGTTTCGGTATTTTCGCTGGCAGTTTTTCGCTTTGTTACGCAATACATTAATAATAC